TCAAGTCCGATCTTCCTGCGTTCTCGCCAAGAACGGACTTGACGAGAACGCGAGTACGTACTCGCGTTCTCGTGAATTGAGAAACGCCCAATGTATGTAACGGTTATGGTTTTGATCTAGGCTCTAGAATACCCATAATTCCAAATTTTATTGTAAAAAATAAAATACTCAAATACTTTGTTCTTTTAAGATCTTTATTGCGGTTTGAAACATATATGAGTGTATTTTTTTTACCAACCGTCTAATGAACTATACACAGTTATTAACATAGTAATTAAAAGTACCACTGTCTGCTTTGCTACTGGTGTCGTGTTTAAACGGTTCACCATCATGTTGAAATCTGCCAGGTGTTGGGGTATAAATAAGGTCCTGTCAGTCAAGCTTGTATCATGTGGGTTTAAGAGGAATGTTTCGCACCACTACATCTGCAAAGAGACGTCCTAGTCCACAATAGCATGGGGGGCCACCCAGGTGCTAGTGACGGGGCCTCTAATAGGTTGGGGGCCCCTAAGCAACTGCAGTCTCTCCTTACCGTTAGTTATGCAATTGGTTGAATACTTTTGTCCCACTACAATGCATTTGATTGTTTTATCGCGTACCTCTATTTTCAATTTATAGCCCCCCCCGCGGCTACATCTGGCCACCCCTATGAAACATTTCTGGAGGCGCCACTGCTGACAGTCATACATGGGCAGTTCTAGAAAGGGCCCAACGGGGGCCAGTGGCCCTGTAAATCATGTCTTAGTCCCTGTTATGGCCCCTCTACTGAAGAAATAATACTTAAAAGAAATCCTAATGACGACATGCTGATAGGTCCTTTGGATCTATTTCATATTTTTTCTTTATAAATTATGTTTTGCTAATTATTTAAAAACAATAAGATGATAGCTTTAGAGGTATTGACAAAGGATCCAGGTTTTCATCTGCTAAATGCTTTATTTTTTTTTTTAAACAAATTAAAAAAACAAAAACTTTTACAGCTGAATTCAACAGTTTTTCTTGAGTTCTAATTCAGATTTTATGGAAAATTGTAATTTTAACTTAAATTAAGTGAAAAATATGTAACATTCCAACATTATGAATGTATATTGACCTCATAAGAAATAGAATTTTAATTAAACCTGATTGAATAGAAATTTCACTTCAAGCAGCTATCTTAACCTCTTAAAACCTACCGGGTCGTCAGTGAACAAATATAATACAAGCATACCTGCCTTTTCTCAAAAATGTCTTTATTACTGCTGTTCAAAAAAGACCCATCATTTCCGAGAATAAAAAAAAACAACAACTTTGAGTCATGTGTGAACTGATGCAGGTTGGTCTGTGTTCTAGTCACCCAATTTTAATGTATATATTAGGAAACTAGAGGGTGTTAACTTTCAATTAAATTTCAATTCAGTTTATTTATACAGCGCCAATTCACAACAGATGTCGTCTCAAGGCACTTTACAGTTCAACCAGATCATACAGTCAAATTGATTACAGTTCCTAAGTTATTTTTTTTTTCCATTTGGGTATGCAAAATAGGCGAGGATTACCCAAAATGAGGTGGATGTTAAGAGGTTAATATATTTGAATCCCTTGCCCTGTCTTTTATTTCATGCTATTCTGTGCCCCCATGAAAACATGCTGGCCCCCGGGTACATTTGGTCTGGAACCGCCACTGCAGTCATACCTGGCTACGCCGCAGAGCGTTCATATCAGATGAGGCTTTTGTATATGGGACAACACCGCTGGAAGGAGAGGCAGGGAGGAGCAGGAGGAGGTCTGCCCAAACTCCGCCTCCGGTCTCGGATCATCTCGCATTCCTTCTTCGCGGCCCCTCATGCCGTAGATTGATAGAGAGAAGGAAGCAGAAACACAGACAGGGCAGACGAAGAAGCAGAAGAAAGAAGAAGGGGCGCAGCGAAGCGACCATGGCAGTATCCACGACGCGCCAGCGCGAGACAGAGTCCGAGCAAAGCGCGCACCCTCCACCGCCCAGCAGAGCCCGGAGCATGCAGACGCACCACAGACAGCGTCTCGATGAATGAAAGCAGCCGTGTTACCTGGGCCGCGGACACAATGAGGGTCATCTTTACCCAAAACGCCGGTTTCGTCGCAGCTTTTTCGCCTTTCTTCTAATATTGGCAACGTTTAGGACGACAGATGACGTGAACAACGTAGAACTGACCGCAGTTAGATCGTGCCAATTTATTTATGTTTTTTTTTCTTCTTAAATAGATGAGGGGAGAAAAAAAAGCAGCATGCAAAAATAATACAGCCAGTATTTTAAAAACGAAAGCGTAATCAGATTGCGAAATCTGAAAACAGAATAGTCAATGTTTTATTAGCGACATTATTGGCATTTTAATATAATTTGTATGCATAATTATTATAGATCAGTGAGATATTTTAGTAATCGATCATCATAGCGCGATTAGAGCATAAATAGGTTAAATGTTTGTTCACTTTGATCAAAGCCAAATGATCAAACAAGACAATCAGTAAATGAATTATATATGTGATAACATCACTTTCTTTATTATTTGTAATTTATTTATTTATTATTACTATTATTAGGTCTATAAGTATTATCTTATCAATAGTTTTAGTTGGTAGTTTAGAAATATTTAGATTGTTTAAGACACCTCTCCAGAGAAATGGAGACCGCTTATTTATCCGCAAACCGAGAGGGCCCCCAGGGGCCCCAGAGAGGTCAAAGCTTAGCGGGTGTCCCCTCTCCTCCGGGCTCACCTGTCGGCGGATCACCGGAGGAGACCCTCTCTCCGGGTGATGGACGGCGGAGCTCGGGCGTGAAGAAGCACCACCACAAACACAACCTCAAACACCGCTATGAGCTCCTGGAGACGCTGGGAAGAGGCACCTACGGCAAAGTCAAGAAGGCTATTGAGCGGCAGACCGGCAGAGAGGTGAGCCCACTTCATAAGAGCCCCTCAGCAGCTGTAAATAAGCTGCCGGGGTGATTTAATGCTCCACAGAGGACCGTTTCTACATGCATGCTTGCAGCGCAAGGTTACATTTCCAGTCATTTGCAAAGAAATGCCACATAATATTTTCTTGCAGTATATTAAAGTAGCCTATGTGCAAATGATGATAGCCTTGCAGGAAGCGCAGTCTTTCATTAGAGGCGCGCGCTTGTCCTCCTGCCACCCCGCTGGGAATTTCCCCTACGCTCCAAAATGGGACCCATGGGGCCTGGGAGCTGCGCGGCACACGCCTTGTCCTGTTCATGGCCCCCCGACCGGATGTTAGGGTTCAGATCCGGCTACTGACAGACTGATGCGACTGCTGTAGAGTTACCCTCAAAATGACTCCTCAGAGGTCTGTTTCCTTTGTTTCAGTTTAGAGCAGGGGCGTTGCAACACATATAGGAGTACTGGGGCACAGGTTAAATATAAATTAAGTCCAGGCCATCACATACAATTTATATGCAAAAAATAAAGAAAGAAATACTTAAATAAAATAAAAAATATGGCAAATGATGATAAAATGAGTTCCAAACATTTTGTGTTGTTGTTGTTGTGGTTTTAGACATATTTGCATAAGTCAATGAATGTTTTCTTCAATTGTAGTCATGACAACTTTTGTCAAGAAATGTAATTGGGAAGTTTTACTAGGGACACAGAAGCTACATTCTGAACCATCAGAATTGACATTGAAAAAAATTAAGTTTTACTTCAGTTTATCAAATAGTAGTATAACAGGACTTGGACTTTGTCAGGACAACAAAATTGTTACATGGTGCTGTGTCATTAGTTAAAAGGGTGACCTCAAAACATTAATTCAATGCCTCAAAATGAACATTTTCAGACTTTTAAGGTATGAGAATATAGAGAAAGTTCCCCTAAAGTTGGAAGCCGTGTTGGGAAAGGGAAGCTTTGCCACCAACCATCACACCAATATCCAAAATGGCTGCCTATTATTTCATATTTAATAACTAACTAAGTTTATTTGGAATTTTGAAAATCTATCCTGTAAATCTGTCATTTTTAGCCCATGTTTGGGGTACTGAGACACCCCTAAAATAAGTTGTTTTTTATACAGTGTGCACTTTAAAAACCAAACAAATAAAACCAAAATAAATGATAAAAGTGTAAATACTATATAGTACTTGAACTTAATATTTGCAGAACTATGTGCTACCTACCTGCGATACTGGTGTGAGTGTCTGGTTTTAACTGCAATATTTTTGCAAAATGCTTAATTTATACTTAATACCAAAACACATTATCATTATTACTTTTTACTTCCCCGGCCAGGATTGTGTGTGTCTGTGTGTGTGCGTGTTCACATTTAGGTCAGTTTTCCACTTTCTCTTTCTTTTTTAACCTGATTAGCTGTTTGCATCATAGCAAACCCAACCATTGCTCATGTATCCTTACAGGCTTGAACATCATGGCAAAATATGACCCCTATGCTCACTCTGGCAAGGCACGTGGAACTTTCCATGAAGATCTGTATACAGGTCATATCCGACACCCCACCTCTCTCCCACTGGTTTCACAGCTCCTGATTATCAAAAATCATCTGATTATCTTTTGACTTTGTCGACTATTTAACTGTGAAAAAACTTTGGCTCATATGGTTGGCTTTGAATTTTTCATCACAAATCAGTAAAGAAATTCTGCAGTTTCATATTTCTTCACTTTTTTATGGTATGCATGGCATAGTATACATTTATGATATGATAACCTTGAAGAACAATGCCATAGTTGCATTAGATGTTATAAAGCTAATATAAGAACATGATTCAACTGCTTTTATTTAGCTCATGTACTTATTCTCACCATATTACCTATTACCAATGTAAACTCTACCTTTCACTTTCATCACTGCAGAATATTATACCATTTGGATGTTTTACTATTTATAGAATATTGCAAAAACAACAGCCTGGTTAAAGTGTAGCTTGCCAACAGTAGATTTATGTGTCAAATGATGGGTTGGGCTTTATTTGTTTCCACCATGTCACTGTCCATGTTTTACACCACCAGAAATTCAGGCTAAAAGACACAGATAGTGTCTAATTGCAGTAAAGATTATGAAAACTGCAATGTCCCCATGCATGATGATTTAGCCTAATTTTCCTGGCATATTTCCTTCTTTCAACATTTTTATCCGCCGCACTCATGCAGCACTAACAGAGCCTGACTTCCTCATAAGCCACGTGCGTCTGATGTTACGCTGTAGTGTTTACTCGACCTTTAACCCCAAGAGGAAGTCCCTCGTGTCCTTCTGGGAGATACAAGAGTCGTTTTCAGACCACTCACTCGTCAAATTCAATCACGGGAAGAGACGGACAAGATAAATGGAGGAAGCTGTGCTTCTGTGTGCGTCTGTCTGTGATGGAATTAACCGAATGCTCTGGATGAAGACTGATTAGATGTGGCTCCATCAGCGTATCAGTAAATGTAGCACAGAGTGTCTGCTTTAATCTGGAAAGCCATATGTTGCATTGCTGGGTAAAAGAGTTGGAATCCAACAAGTATATGAAGTTGATCGCTTTGATCGTGTGCAAATGTGACAAGCTTGTTTGATTTAGCATGCCTGCAGAAGATTTGCTGCTTGCCATTATATTCTGAAACACAGTGTGTTAGCCCCTATGTATTTAATGACATCTGTAGTAAAAAAAGACATGGTGACAGGCAGACCCTGAGTGAATACTGACACATGAAAGGGCATCCACAGCAGGAAATGAGATGGGAGGGAAGGTTAATATCCTGTATAGAGGAATCATCAGAGACAGGAGGAGGTGAGCTGTTAGCACAAGGGATAAAGAGAACCCCAGCACAATAACAGACAGGCTGCCTGGGTTGAAGGGAATAGAGTCACATAAATGTGATCTTAAAGCACCAGATTACATCATTCTCCAATAATGGCTTCAATGGGGAGGTGCACAGAAGGGGAAAAGAATCTAACATTCCTCTGCTGTATGCGGAGCTGCTGATGAGGTATTATGATTCCTGGCTGTGTTTGAGGATAAAGTTCTCTGGAAAAGTGACGAGCCTCTTCCTCCCTGTCCTGCTCTCTCTTCAATTGTCCCATTTATGACTCAGACACACAGTCAACACAACAGATGCTCTAACCTTAAGGCAACACAAAGATGGGTCAGTGTGTGATGAATACTTTTATGTGTTTTAATGGCCTGAGAAAGCACTGGAAGATGTCAGGCTCTACTGAACCGAGGCAAGAACTTTCACTTCAAACATGCTCCTTTCAGAGAGTGGTTTGGGGATTGTGGGTGAGGGGGTGGTTAGTAAGGGGGTGTGGGTTATGTTTCCCCAAACCTGGCATGGGGCAGCATGGGCAGCAGTACGGCGACTGTTTACTGTGACTGATGGTAATAAGGGATCCACTTAAGAACAAGCGGAGCTGTGTCAACTGACCCGACAAGGAGTTGATCCACAATCCTGTTAAATGTTCCATGTAGAGTTCTGGGCATGGGAATATGAGGAGCTTCATGATGGTAATACCTGGCTTATTTCAAGCCCAGTAAGGATGAGGTGGGTCAATAAGTTAGAGTAAAACTGCTTTGATTACTGATTGATTAATGCTATTCTGAGGGAAGGTTGTACTGCTGTAGAAAACATTTTGTCCCCCCTTACAGACTTCTTTTATTTTGCCCTTTTTGTCTCAATTACATAGATCATATAACCTGACTCCGTCAGATGGATTTGCTCCGTATATCCATCTGGAAACCTTCCGTTGAAGTAATTTTGTGAAGGGGCGAAAATACTGGTTAGCTGATTGGCCTATGTTGGTGATAGACGGGCCAAATAAACCAATCAGATCAACGAAGCATATGACGTACTAACAGAGCGACGACGAAAACACAACCACAAGCCAGGCTACTCTTGCGGAAGAGCAAAAACGTCTTTTCCTCTGAGAAAAGCCTCCAGAGCAGTGTTTTGCTCTTCTTTCAGTGAAGAAATACTCTGTAATTCCGATAAAAGTTGCTCGATAGCCACGCTAACGCTAGTTTCATCAGCTAAAGCCGCCATGTTCTTTAGACTGAACTGTCGCGCTTCTCGTTGCGTCACACCTCAACCCGCATCAAAGCCAACGCTGATTGGACGGTCGTTTGGTGAACGGCTCCACATTTTATTTAACGGAGAGTCTCCAGACTGATCTGCAAGTGAAACCTTGAAAGCTCGCGAGATCAGGATGGTCTCACGAGGCTATTTCATTTTCATTTATTTAATTTATTGTTTATTTGAAAGGGGACAATGTACATTAATCAACATTAAAACAATGTAAATATACCCGAGTTAGCTAAGGAGTGCTAATTTTCATCGGCAGTCCCCCAGCCAGATATTAAAAAGGCAACCTTAAAAATAAACACAAGTATAAAATCACAAGATTAAATTACAATACCAATTACATAAAAAACATAGATAGATCATATACTTTACAAGCGAATGTCAAACAAGATTACATGAGCAAATAAAACATTGAGTTTGAATAATTGTATATTTATTAGATGAAAAAAAATATATTTTCAAGCCAGCCCTATGTACATACATAAACACCCCCAAATAATAATAAAAAAAATTATTTATGACATATGTAGATCTAGCTTCTTTTATGAACCTCCTGGATAAGCCACTCACGTGCCATTAATAAATATTCAGCTGTTAGACTATAACTGATACTTGAGGTAATGGTTTCGATTACTGTTAATCATTACTTTTTGACTTTGTCCCCACAACTCTCCAAGAGCTTTAGCATCTCAGCTGTTATAGAAAAAAATCTTTGTTGGGAAATTTAGGGAAGTTATACTTCATTCCTTTTCAATGTAGACATTGCACACACTGATATTGCATTGGAGATTTGGAGGTTTGATATATTGTGCAGTTCTGCAGCCAGGAAGGAAGACAACTATCCTTAGATCAGGGTACGATGTGTGCTTATTTTGAACTGTTGCTTACTTCCTGTGGTCAGACAGTTATGTTAAAGTGATTTTGATATTCTACTCATCTGGTTGTAATTAAGCCTAGTTGTGGCTAAAGGTGACGCAAAATAAATGTAGTTATTTATCTTTAAGTCTTGATGAAAATGGTAAAATCATAGATAAAAAAGTTTATTGTTAGGGTACAGAAACTTCACAGCTCTGTATGCATAACTATTTATGATATTATATGAAAGGGGCAAGAAATTCTTACATCTACTATACAAAATGTTATTTATATGTAAAAAAAAAAAAAAGAAAAAGAAAAAAAAAAAGAGCAGTATATAAGGTATAAAACATTCTTAATTTAACAACAACAACAACTCAAACCAACAAATTAGAAACACAGGATGCAAATCAGCTTCTACGTTTGGTTATAGTTTAACGTCTTTAAATTCTGTGTAATCAAGGCATGGTCTGGACTGGAGTTATTCTGGATTGGGGTTATTTTTATTGATGTACATGGTAATTAGCTTGGCACTCGCTACCGCTTGTGGTTTTCCCGGCATGGGTTCCTTTGAAGGAGGCAGCCTTGCAAGAAGCGGACAAAAGTTTAAACTAACAGCATTTAGAGTGAACAGACGCTAACCAGGCACAATCAAAGAAGACCTACGACTCTATCCAGGATCTATATGCTGAAATTAGCATGATGTGCAAGCCTATGCACTCTCAATTGGTTTATTTAAAGAAGGCCGCTAAATTGTCACTTATGGAAAGCCTAGGCTGGCTGTTCTGATGCTTACAGTTGCGGCTGTTGGCAGCCTGATGGCATTGAAGAATCATCAAATCAAGTGTTGTTTGTAGCAGCTGGATTTCCGATTTCAGGCCCATTTAGCAGGCCAAGTGAAATTAATCACTCTCTCAACCTTTGCTCATTATCCTGATTCCTGTTTAAAACTCTCAGCAGGACCGTTTTACTGGCTGTTTGAAGTGAGGCCATTAGCTGTTCTTTATTAGAATGACTTAAAGTGGGTTACAGAGCTGTGATTACTGACCTCTCAAGGACTTTTTGACAGGTGGGGAAGCATGCTGTTATTAGCAACACTTTGTCTTTTGTTGGAGTCCCCTTACTTTTAGCACATTGACTGGTCGGCTTCTCCTTCTTTTATGACTTCACTTGATTCCAGCCTTCCATCAGGGTTTAGTTCCTCCAACCACATGCAAACCTGCTGAGGCTTTGCATATGGGTGCTGAACATTATCTTATCATAGCAGTGATGCTTCAATAGGTGTTTTGTCGCTTATCTCTGATGCTTGTTTGTGAACTGCTGACTTGCCACTATCAATTTTAAGCTGATTCAAATAATATATATGTATATATATATATATATATATATATAGCAGACCAGTAGTGGCTTCTGCTCTCTGAAACGGCAGCCTCTATAGTGTTAATTAAATCTAAGCATCACGTATTACATTAACAAATGTTGAAACACATAAAACACATTATTACAGTGGGGGAAAATAGCTGTTGTGAAACACTCTGAAATAATAAACTCCAGAAACCACGGCAAGAGTTCAGCCCAAGATGATCTGACTGAATGATCCCTTTTCTCTCTCAACTCATGAGGAAAACCTTCTCACTGTCTGTCTACTGTCAGTCAAAATATGCCTATTAACATTGATCAGCCAGCTTCACGACACGCCCCTGCGCCATAGACACCCTTAGAGGTTTAACCTCACTAGAACTGATGATTTTGCCGTATTATCCAATCGGGGCTCTACTTTATCCCTGGCAGCGTCGTTCTGCTCCTGAGTGAGGGGAGATAACATCCATGAGCGGGCTCAACAGCTTGATACAGATTAATGCACAGCATACTCATGAAATCAGGCACATTTTAGCTCATATTTAATGCAGTTTAATGCATATTTCACCAATAATTTAAAGAAATTTAAAGAGGAGATTTAGTCTCCCTATTATTCGTTGAGAAATAGGCAGTTTTTAAATTAACTACCTAAACATTTTGTGCTTCCTCTGATTATGTTTTAAAGCGCCTTACTGATACTGAAAAAAAGTGTAATTTATGCTGCATCTAGGGCTGTCCATGCTAGGGATGCACGATATTGGGATTTTGGCCGATATCCGATATGCCGATATTTTAAAACTCATGTAGCCGATAACCGATACCGATGTTAAAGCTGGACAAAAATAAAAAAAAATTGAAAATAGCAGTTTTGTTATCCATTTCTGACACTTTGAAAAATAAT